GAAAATATGGTTTACATCACAATATAAAAGAAAACAAAACAGAAGCAGTGGGCTGCTCTACATGTCAGCAGTCTGGATGTGGGTTAGACTTCCCAGACGGGAGTGGGGGCAGGCAGCTACAACCAGCTGTAATGTCTCCTATAGCAGAATTGGACTGCTGGTGGGGTTATTGAAGGGGAATGGAAAGGCGGTAGACCCTGCTCCAGCCTGCCTGCCGAGCCTAAACCCTGCTGGCGACTTATAGCAGAGTGAGTCAAAGGTTGGACTGTAATTATGCTTAACCCCCAACCAAAAACTGTAGTTGGTTGCACTGGTGACTTGTTTATGCTGACTCGGTGTTTGCTATTCATGCTAGCCCACAGTGGTGACAGTGTACCTGACCAAGGACAGATAAGAAAGAAAAGCTTTTCACATCAAGACCAAATCCTCCCTCCTGTCTTCATTTCAGACCTCTGTTTTTTTTTTCCAAACTGGTCTTTGTTTTGTTATCAGTGCCTGGATCCCACACTGAAGAGTATTGACAAGTAGAATGAGCTCTGCTTTGGGGCGCGAGTCTAAGAGAGGCTCAATCAGGCAAAAAAGAAAACGAGAGAAACTCGCGCACATAAAGTTAAGGTTGACAAGAGGGGTGAGAGTCTTTAACTATTCAATGTGTTCCTGCACATGTTTGCAATTGAACATATTGCCTCTTTTGCTTTCTTCCTCCAAGATCTCTGCCCAGGCTTGTCTAAAGAATTGTGACCTACTTTGCAGCATTTGCAAACTGACAAGACAAGATTTAAATGCTCTGAAAGTTCTACGTGACAAACCCTACACAACTGATACAGTGGTTACTGTAAAATGCACAAAAGTGAGCATAAGCTTTATCTCTAAGTTCTCTTTAAACATAGGTAATCCTATAACACAATGGTGGTGTTACCTAAGCTGGTGGGGAGCAAATAAAAAAACTTGGTTTTGTTGACATCATCTAAAGCAGGGCACAGAGTATAATGGGTTACACCCACCTACACAGATATGTACACACACTGGGACATTAAGCACAACCTCGCCACATTGACCATTACTTGGAGAAAAATAGGCACCTCACACTGCAGTGTGTACTAAGTGCACTGGTATAATACAACTATGTAACCGAAATACAGTTAGTGGATTTATGCAGCAACTAGAGTCCCTTATCAAACTGCTCTCAGAATGTGTGATGAATACCACATGAACACACATCTGGATGAGAGACAGAGCTGGGATTATCTTAAGAAAGTTAACATAAATATTAAAGCTTCAACCAAAATGTAATTAATGGCTAAGAAAGCTGATGGTTTCATGGTGAGAGAGGAGAGCCTCTTGTCACCAACTGCAAAACACAAGCCACTTTGGACATGGCAAAGACAGGGAGTTAATCTGAAAGGTCAATGGAGCAACAAAGAGGCCTGGCTAATATGAGCACACTGTTGTGCAACTGCTTTTAGCGGCTGTGTAGTGTCAACTCAGAGTTTGTTATTGTGATAGCAGTGCGCTGAGATAGCCTTCAACATACTGTGGAAAAGAGATGTTTCAAATCTGGTTAAGATCTGGAGAGACAGAGAGATGAGAACAGTCATTTTGCTATCTGTAGTGGGCGAATGTGCATACACACTCCAACATGCAGCAGAAACAAATAGGCAGAGCATCATTCAGTTTTAAAACCATGTTCAGTCTTGCATGCTTCTCAGAGACACTCCCTCACATCATACATGACCAGCGGTATGTGACGTTCACATGATGAGGAGAACAGGAAGAAAAGGAGTACAGGTGGTGTTTAAACAATACACGCCACGCCTACTATGAAGCCAACTCAAAGCGGTTTTATTCTGTTTTGTTGACAGCCTATAAATCAATTTACAATCCAACTACATTTAAAATTTTAAGAATCTAACATAATAAATAAAATAATAAATTGACCAGGAGGGGTTGCGCAATCTGTAGATTACTGATTACAATTTGTCACTGTGTAAGCACAGTCTGGCAGAGAGAAAGCAACCTGACACAGACTGTGCAAAATAAGGCTGGAGTGCCTAAGCACCACCTGCAGCCTCTCCCAGTTCTCTTTACTGTTACATAATCACTTATCAGGTCACCAGACTTGTCCCTGAATGCATTTTATGCTTGCTCTGTATTTAAAGGTAAAGCCCCCAATTTAAATTCATTTCATATTTTGTCAAATTAAGCACAATTTTTGTGCACTCAAAATACCTTGTGTGTTTGTATACAATCCTGGCTCTGTAAATGGGGGCGAAAAGGAGCTGGTTCAGGACAGGTAATTACTCCCAATGGGCACCAGGAGTGCTCTTTGCTCATGCTCAGTAGAAGGATGTAGGGCAAGAGAAAGGGCCAGTATACCTGGTATAGTTCAGAAATCAACAACATTTAAAGCCTACACAGCTAAAAATCCCAAAAGGAGAAGGGCAAAAGAGCAAAAGTTGAAAAAGGAGGACTACGATCAGGCAAGGTCAGAGGCCCATGTAAACACAGGCGTTGCTTTCCAATGGTGGAGAGCGTTCTGGGATTTGAAAAAGCAGATGCAGAGTTTATTCATTTTTTTCCTGGACAAATGAGTAAAGTGTTTACTATGTTCACAGGAGATCGTTAGGGTGAACAGGATGTTCACTTCTCCCGTATGTTTGGGGGTTTGCTAGCAAGCATGTACGTGTGTTACATTAGCCTGTTTGCTGGAGTATGTTTCCATGGACATTCTGCAAGCTTGCTAGCTAGTGTGTAAATACGGTGCTATTCGTGTGATGTCTGACATATCAGCTGGAGGTTACTGTGAGAGAATAACAGTGAAGTGCTTGTCAGCCACATTTTTGTTCACTTCTCCCGTATGTTTGGGGGTTTGCTAGCAAGCATGTACGTGTGTTACATTAGCCTGTTTGCTGGAGTATGTTTCCATGGACATTCAGCAAGCTTGCTGGCTAGTTTGTAAATACGGTGCTATTCTTGTGATGTCTGACATATCAGCTGGAGGTTACTGTGAGAGAATAACAGTGAAGTGCTTGTCAGCCACATTTTGTGCCCCGGTATCATTGCCATGGTAATGCAAGTTGATGAACTCTGGGGAGGCATGGTTAGGCAACCCTAACTGAAGAGAGTTGTGGATTTGGTTTGGTGCTGATGTAAATAGAAAAACTGTCACCAGAATAATGGACTATACCTTTAAACAGCCTGTATGTGCATGTACGTTTGCACAAGAACTATCAAAGAATGTCCTGAGCACCAATGTGCATTTGTCTGTGTTTGAAAATGATGTGAAACACTGACAGCAAAAGCTCACTGCACTGTTTCTGAAACATCAAACAACACACACCAAAGCTCATCTTTCTGCTAGACATAAATCACACTCGTATATCATCTAGCCTGGCCTGTGAAAAAAAAAGAGGGTTAACAGTTAGTGTTTGGCTTAGAAATTGTCAAGCTAACAACTCAGATTCCTGACTGGTAAATACACTGCCACATGTGGCCAACTTGTTTATCAATACACAACACCAACACTTGTAACTAACTCCTTTCTCTCTCTTTTCCTTCTGCCGAGTGATTGGGTAATCCTGGCCCTCATCGCCAGCTCTGGCTCTCTTAGGGCATATTTCAAAACTGTTCTAGATGGAACACCAAACATGTGGTCAGTTGACCAGTACGCCCCCACAGCATTCATGCCCAAACCACTATACAATTGTGGCTAAAGGGTTCATTCCACTTCTAGTCAAGACTCTGTTAACGTACATGGGTTTGGAGTATGAAAACCGTCTATGTTGATTATTTGCTTCACCACAAGTTCAGAGTCAAATTAGCTCCTGAACTTGACCTAACAGTAGGGCTGCAACAATTAATCAACATAATCGACACCATTGATTATTTTTGTGCTGTTTGTTCGTACTCTAAAAACATGTAAATATAAATTTGTAACTGGGTCAGCAACTGGGCGACTACATCAGTGATGCACATTTGAAAAACACCAGAAGTGGTGGATAGTATTGAGTATGGTTACAGCAGAGACAAGAGGATGACCAGTCATCTAAAGTTGGGAGGACTTGATTTTAAAATCAGAAAAAAGACTGTCCGGTGCCAAGTATGCAAAACGTATCTGTCGGGACAAAGGACCATGATGCTAATGCATTAGCAGTTAATGAAAATTGACAAGAGTTACAGAAGAGGGGGCATCTGGAGCTAAGAAAGTCATTAATTTTTAGTTAATAATGCAAGAAGTTATGAAACTAAAATTATCATGTACTTGATTTTAAGTAACATGGTTACATTTGTACATATATTATGATGCTAACTATATATTTAGGAACATAAGGGTAGCTTGTGTAGGCTGCTAATAATGGGTGCTAAATGCGTTTGCATTTGTGTTCACGTAAACAGCCCAGCATTAGGACTGTATTAAATGCAATAAGCGAAACTAAGTTGTATAGATGTGTGCCAGAACATTGATGATACATGTAAATTAATGGGGACTGTGCAGAGTACACAGGCTGAGGACTGTTTTAGCATGGTATGTTTAATGAAAATATTAATTAATTTAAATCAAAAACATTTGCACCTTAAGGACCAACTGTACACTTTATAAACATTCTACTCTTGAACAGATAATTTAGTTTTTGTTTAATAATGCACCGCATAGAAACACTGGAAAAGTATTATTGAAATGAATGTGTTTATACAATGTGGAAAATAGATTTCTGCATGTTTTATACATTAAAGTAATCGTTAGTTGAAGCCCTACCTAACAGGAACAAGCACTATGAACACAAAATTAAGTCTGATGCTAGAAATAACAATGTGCTCTTGAATTTTAGATATTGATTACACATCTAAAACTCATGTTTAGATGCCAAACCAAAGTTCAAATCACATCAAATGACTGTATTGCTTGAACGTCACATCTCTTTCACTTAACATGAAACACAACAAAAGATAAAGCCACAACAGGGGTTTGTGGCTGTAGTGTATCATCAGCCTCTCCATACCTGTTTCTGGGGACAGGGATGTGGGTGGAGGGTAGGGGATGTCTCTCTGTCAGTGGTACATTCTGCCCTTGTGCTGCTCTTTTGCTGCTGACCACCTCTGCCTGTTTCCCTGGGTTCCTGATGTCCAAATGCATAAAGCCACCTGAAACCTGCCTGTTTACGCCTGGGCAGTGAGTGGGACTGGCCCTCTTCAGGATCCCAGTGGAAACAGTGTCTTTTTGGTCCCCGACACCATTCTAGAAAAGGAAGCAAAACACATTAAAGTTACTTATTTTGAGGCCTTGTGTGTTTTTGTGAAGTGCTCGGCTTACTTACAAAACATGCTTTGAAAAATTCCCAAAACAGCAATACCATAAGAAAAACAAATTCTGGAACACACTCATATTCACTCGCCATTTTGTAGTGAGAACACTCAAACTTAATGTGGTGTACACTCTCGCACAAATATCAATGCACATGTGGCTCTCTCCATCATTGTTGTGGGTATGTCTGAATGAAGCCATGACGAACATTAACTGTGAATCATTCAGACTTATGTCTGAATGACAAAAAGCTGTTGCTTTAAAAAATTCATGAAGTTAATGACAAAAAGCTGTTGCTTTAAAAAAATTCATGAAGTTATGTTACATATCCCATGTCTGAAAAGGGTTTATACAATCAATTTGCGTCTATAAACTACTTCGAATTGTGTGGGAAAACATGACAAACAGTCTAAAAGATAAATACTTTTATTTACTGTCACTTACTGACATTTGGTCAAGTAGTAGACAGAAAATATTTAGTCTAAGCCTGAAAATGGCTGAAATAATTAATCAATTATCAGCAATACATTGATTTTTGGACAGATAACTAATTAATCAATTAACTGCTGCAGCTCTAAAAATAAATACTCACTCAAATGTCCATTCACAAAATCCACAAAAAAGCTTAGGTTCATACAGACTTCCATGTTAATATAAATAGAGTGTACTGAATAAAATGTTGCTTGATCCCCAGGTGTGGTCATTCTTCATCTATGCATATTTAATGTTGCAGGTTCAATTTGTAACTGTGTGACATGATTAAATTACTGATGCCACTGATGCTCAACTACTAATGCAAAAATGCAATGCAAAAACATACATATAATGCAAGTTAAAGCAAGAAACAAACCAAAAAAAACTGTTGTATAGGGAAAAAACTAAAATGTTGCACATGCCTATCCACAACTTGAACATTATGTGAGGAGCCTGCGCCGTGTCGCCAGGAAGCTATCGGTGTAGCTCCACCCTAAACTTACGGGGGAGGGGGGGTTAGGCTGGCAGTTTGAAGTCCCTGCCTCCCTTCTGTAAACTTTGCACACAGACCGAGCCGCCATTTAAAGCGGTTTGGACACGACGTAATTACGAATAATCGGTGACGATAGTTGGTGTAAATTCTGACACTACAGAAGTCGGTTAAGAGTTGTAAAATAGGTAACGTTACTCAATACACAGCAGAGTAGAATGTGAGCAGCACCGTCGTATATTTTACCCAATAAAATGTGATAACTGCGTATCAGAGCGGTGTAAGCTGTCAAACTTCTCACTATACAGCGCAACGTTAATGACATGTTAACGTTGTATGCTAAATAGCAGCTAACGTTATGTTGCTGCATGTAACGTTACAGCGGACTTTTACCAGCTAATGCTGGAGTCGTTCGTACACAAAACGGGCAAACAGATCTTACCTTTTCCATGTCCTGCAATATTCGACCACCCAGAACCAGTCCATTGCCTTTTGGAGAAGTTCTCTCTCTTCTGACCTCCGCCACGGAGCCGCCGTTCATGACAGATTTATAAGCGACGGGCCTGTTTGTGTACGCCGGCACAGGACCGCTTTTCTCCACCGTGGGGGCACGGTTCTCGTGGATCACTGTTCGGCCTGCCCGGCAGTTAAAATCCGCACCACCGACACCGACCCTTGTCCCAACCGACGGCTTCTCCAAAATATATCTAGTATCCATATTCTGATAAGGCGAATGGAAACCAAAGAAAGAAAACCAGCTTTCTATAGATTTTAGTGCAAATTGCTGGAGTTTGATACATTTATCAGGATTGTCATGAGTTGATAGATATTATCTGTACTAAACTTCTAATCTAGCCTACATGTAAAGTTTTCCACCGCCGCCGCTACCACTACCCAGGACATCCAAAAAGCCACCCGGTCAGGAGGATAAAAGATTGTTTTGCCTCTTTCCTCCAAAAGCATGCCACGCCCCCTCTACTTCATTCCCATTGGTCCGTTGCATACATAAACATTGCAATTTGGCATGCGTCCACAGCGAGGCGGCCTCTGATTGGATGGTTTCACAGTGTCAATCATTTTTTTCAATCCAAGTATTGTGGGTGGAAGAGAGGGGGGAGGGGGCGTGCCCAACAGTTTACCGGCCGGTGTCTGTCTACGACGAGCCGGTCTGCTAGGCAGGCAGTGGGGGTAGGGGGATAGAGGAAAAACAGCCTGCAGGCCTCTACTGCAAACTACGCATTTATATTATTACTAGACCAAAAGGTTCTTTAGTGGCTCACGTTTAACTGGCATGAACTAGACTTTATAAGAACGGTATTTTTGATGAAATGAACATATTTGGCCAGGCTGTTGTCACATTCAAAAGTTATAAACCTCTTTATTATTACAACATTAGTAGATTAACCATATTTGTTATAATGTGAACAAACAGAAATGTCATGGATGCAATTACCAGTAGTAGCAAAAATACTGAGGCCTTTTACTTAGGCTAAGTAAAACCACAGTATAAATGCGGTTTAATATATCGCAGAGTCACAAGCAAAAGCATTAAACATCTTATTCAAATATTTCCTTAAAGTGGGTTATTAAAAGTGCTCCTCATGTAAAGTGATCTCAACCAGCCCCTAAATTCTATATTACTGGAATATTATTATGCATTTACAGGCAAGCAATGTTTTAATGTTATGTGTGGATCATTGAAGTCTGTGTTAAATTTGAGGTCCTGTTTTTTTTGTTTTTGGTGGTGTTTATGTATTCACTTCCTGTATCTTAAATACATTGTAAACAGCATCAAACTGCACAATATTTGACCGACTAAACTGTTCCTGCCTCTTTATATTATTATTTTTTTCTTTCTCTACCTAGAACTGAAGTGCTTGGCAAAAATTTGGTTTCTTTACTTTCTGAAGCTGGAGATGCCTAAATGCCTTTTTCTTTAACCTGGTTCTGAAATGCCTGCAGAGCTCAGTCCCACTTCTGGTTTTTACACAAATACATTTTATTGCAAGCTGCATTTATTCAAAACTACCATTATTACATCAAGGCAGCTAAAGCGCTAAAAGATTAACTGGCACTGTACTGGTGCCTATGTAGGCAAAAGACAAACACATGGTATAATGTGCCACTTTATTAGAAAAGTAAAAACTCACTTTAATACTTTATGAAGGTTAATATAAAACATTACAATCTTTTGCATATCTGCACCGTCACACTATGTCTTATCATATTTAATATTTTTAAACTAAACCCTGTGTTTAAAGAACATACAATATTGGCTACAGCTGTCACAGCAGTATTGGCCCATAATTATATCTGAAGACAATTAACAAACAGCATGTGGATCTGCATGGAAAGCATGAAACATTTAGTTTCCACAAAGTACAATGTGTCTGTGACAACCATCTTTTTTTCAAGAAATATATTATATACTGTATGTTTCATTGCAACATCATCAGAACAGCAACAGACTATTTTACACATTTACATCATAACATATTGGTTTGTGCAATGAACATCTGTCTCAATCAGTATATAACTGTGTTCAACAAAATATATTGGATCAGTTGGATCAGTGCTTTTTCTCAGGATAAAGAAAACGAGACACATAACGTGAGAGCCAGAGGAAAAAAAAAATGTAATAGTGATTTCCAGTCAGCACTGTTTAAGGGACGCCTCAGCAGAGCTTGTTAAGCGTACTCAGCTGTTGGTCATTTCTCATATCAGACAGTAGTTGAGCCGTTTGTGCATTGTTGATATCAGAGTGGGGTTGCCCTGACCCACAGCCTCTGCCCTCCCCCTCAACCCCCATATCACTCCCTGACTCCCTCACAACTGGTCATCAAAGGCCCCTCTGCTGCACAGCGAGGGAGAGGGGTGAAGCAGAGAAAGGTGAGGACTGTGTGGGTTACTGTGGGACGAGCACAGCTGGGGGAGGAAGTGTATGCAAGGGCTGATCAAGTGGAAGCTAAATGTGCTGCCCCTCACTAAACTAGAAACACACATGGCTCAGCGCTGCAGTGTGTGTGCCTGGCAATGTGTGTGTATGTATGCACACATATATCAGGAGGAAGAGGAGGGTCTGGGTCCCTTTGCAGTGATCCTCATCCAGCTTCATACTAGCTGATTTTCATCTCCCACCCACACCTTTATCCCTCTTTCTTGCCCCCCCCCCCCCCCAAAAAGGCAAAATAAACAAGGCTGTGCCCTAAACTCTCTTTCTCTCTCTTTCTATTTCTCTTCTCTCCTCCTCCAAGTTGTTCCTTTAGAAAATCTTTATGCTGCTTTGCATCAAATGGCAAAAAGGTACAACAGAAAAGACCAGTAAACAAGAGATTAAGTACCACAATATTTGTCTCCATATATCAAAGCATGCATGTTTTTGATCAAGCAGGAAAAACTGTACCAACAACATAAACATACTGTTTTTATGGCAGTGACATGAGCTATTTAACCGACAGCATTGTCAGTAGGTAAGAAAAAACAAACAGCACATTAAAATACAGAGTGCATTTGTTTTACATACTTTTCTGACACAGTAGCATTCATAAATGTTTACTAACCTTTCTAAATCCCTTTTCTCTTTGCATGGTTGAGAACATTCTAACCCATCCCTCTTCATCTCTTATCATTATGCCCACCTATTAAGCCTCTGTTTTATTTTCTCCCTCTGTTGTTTCTTTTTTTAATGTTCCCCAAAGCAACATGGGAAAGACACCGTTTATATTGAAAGAGAAGAGAGACTGGAGGGTGGGGAGAGGGCAGAAGGAAGCCTTCCAAAAGATGTTTGCTGGTTCTTTTTTTGCCCAGCTCTTTATTTTCCTCGGAATTTGTGCCTTCTGTTGCTGTTTCAGCCACCACAATGTAAGTCTGACGAGCTCCGTGGATCCCCGGCTTTGACTAGAGACCAGAGAGCAAATCAGAATTGTGCTTGGAAACACTCTTTACAGCATCTTAATTAAGTCAGTTAAGTCAACCAGTCCTGCAGCTCTTCAGTTCAAAATTACAGTGGTCATAACATCGGATGTTTACACTAATCAGAAGACAGGACATATTAACTGCACAGGATGAAGCATCCCGTTGCTGTGAACACTTTCACTTCATTTTTTTCTGAAAATAGTCTTTTCTCATTTATCCCAGTAATACACTAAAGGTTTCATATTGTGAAATCTGTCACTCATATCACTCGGGGGAAAATTCTTGCCCAACACGCTCAATGCCCCTGATCTGACCATCTTACCCTATGTGACTCTGCCAAGTATGTGCGGGTGTGTGCTAGGGTTTGTCATGCCACGCTCTGATGTTTGTCAAACCTGAACGTGGATTAAGTAATCTCATAATTTATGTGAAGGTTAAATTATTAACCAAAACTCATTTTTTATAGTTATCCGGAAGACTCTTACTGATAACTGCTAATAAATTGCTAATATTTTTTACCGGAAAAAAGAGAAAGAATATCCTCACGCTGAATTATGCAAGCTCCCAATAATTATTTATTGCATCTTGCTGCAACATTTCGACCAACACCGTCTGCATCAGGTCTGACATGCACACTCTTCAACTGCTTTGTTTTTTGTTTTTTTTTGTAAAATGGGGACACTAGCCTTCCGTACTTCTGTGTTTAAGTAGGCCTACAAATTATAGGGCCTATTCTCGACCAAAGCTTGAAAATGCTGTCTGCCAGGCATCAGGCCAAGGCGTGCAGAGAACCAGTTTCAGTTTGCTTAGGGAGAGCTGAGCACTGCAAATCTCTGTGACATGCATCTGCCACCGTATTTGTTGTCATCTCCATATAGCAAAGCATACAGTACATAAGTCCCCCAAGATGGTGCATGTGTGATTGTGTATATGGGTTACAGTGTGCCTTATAATTTTAATACAGCCAGCTTCCTTGTTACCACTGTCTCTTTTCAGGTACATGTTTGATTTTGAACAATGCATGCACATTTCTTTTGTTTTATATATATATATATATATGTATATATATATATATATTAAATTGTGTTTTTCTTGGGTTGTGAGTTACACCACACAATCGTTAAACAGTAAAGTGTTCATATAAAAATAAAGATATTATGAAAAGTGATGCACAACAGGTGAGTATGGTCAGTGACACAGTAGTTGAAGGTGTTTATTCCAGTTTTTTATTCTTTTTTTGGTTAAAATGTATTTGGTCCATATTTGGGCTGGACTCGGCTTAGGCTGGTTCTGAAGTACAGACCAATCAGGGGAAGTTTGAACCTGGATTGAGACCCTGTTTGTACCTGATGTCAACACAGAATGGATCCTCATGTTGTTTGTCTGTAGAAGACCTTGTATCTATGTACAGCAACCTGTTGGCTGACGAGCACAAAGGTCCCTTTCATGACTCTGTACCATCGGCCTGTTCTGCCTGTCAGCCAGCTACAGGCCAGTGACGTACATCTCCATCCCGTCATTGAAAGTGAAAATGGTGGTGGTGCTGGAGCTGTTGCCCCCTTGTTTCATATCACTGATGGTCTCATAGAGGTTTTCCCCACCAGGAAGGCCTCTAGCAGGCAAAACGTTGGATCCTGTGCCCTGAGGTGCCGCTGGTGCTGCCTGCTGTTGCTGCTGCTGTTGCAGCAGCATCTGCTTCTTTCTCCTCAGTGTGGCGTTACCCCCGGCTGTGTTGTTATTGGATCCCCCTTGCTCACGTTTCCGGTGGGTGTCGATGGTAGCATACGCAGGGTCAGATTCGGCTGTTACACTTGTGGGCCAGGGCCCGTCTCCTACCGGCTCATAGCAGGGCTCCTCCTGAGAACGTGCTTGGCCCTGGATTCCTCTGCCTCGGCTCCGGGAACCCGCATTTCCTCCACCAAAAGAACGTGGGAGGGTCTTTGCACCATTGTTTTCCAAAGGGGGTTTCTTCTTCTGTGTTTTACACACGATGGAGTAGGTGTCTGCGATCTGATAACACACAGGAGCAAAGCATAGTATGGTGCCAGTCAGTGACTGAAATAGAAGGTGACTGACTAATACCCTGCTTCATTTGGTCTTGTTTCTATAACTGAATGTATTGTGTTGGAATTTAAATGAACAGTAGCTGCATCAGGTGTTTCCCACCTAACATTTCAGAGTTAGCTATGAATATATGCAGACTGTCTATATTTATGTGTGTATTTCCATCTGAATGTATGCCAGATATAACATATGAGAATAAACATATACAGTAATGTTACCAATTTGATGTATGCAAATTAATGTGTGATCTGGGATTTTGTGTGCAGCTTCAGCACGTGTTGACAGAGCTTGCTGTGTGCTGTAACCTGACCTAGTTTGACAGGGTAGGATAAGACAGAGTAAACTGTGTTATCAGTCAGTTGAGGTCTATGCAGAGAGACAGAGTTAGCTTTACAGTGGATGGACCTGTTAAAATTTCACCACAACTGCTTTAGCAATAGAACAGCAGGGCATGAGAAAGATCTGGTTGACAGCCAGCTCACTTAAAAAAAACCCTGTTCAATAGTGTTCACTAACGGACTTTGCCCACATCTCATTTGCTCTGGATTAGGCTTATGTACATGTTTTTGTGACTGTGTTACTGCAGGTGTATGCATGTGTCTATACTGCACATGTGTTTACTGGATGTGTGTATGTACAGTGTGCAGCATGTAAGATGTGATATCTAGGACTCACAACTGAAAGGCACATGTGAGGTCTTGTGGGAAGTTTGTATAAATGAGGGCTGTGACCTCTGGCATTTCTCTGTCAAAATTCCACAAGGGGAGCACAAGAGCAAAGGATTGTGGGACATGGTCATGTTTACCTTCCTTGCTCACACCCAGAGCAGCAGCTCTGTTCTAGTGACCCTGAGAAACACTTCCTATTCAAACTCTCTCTCTCTCTCTCTCTCTCCTTACTTTCATTGTGCCTTTATATTCTACATCCTACATAACAGAAGATATAACATTAATAAAGCTGAGCAGATATAATTAATGTACAAACCACTGTCATTTTAATTGTGACTATCTCCTTTCTGCCTCTGACACACATACCCTGCCCCCACGAATCTCTTGTGTGACCTTTTTCAATAAACAAAGACCCTGGCATATGCTACAAGTGAGTGCACACAATGTGCAGTGTGCGTGTATGTGCAAGTGTGTGTATATGTGTGCACAGAATTTGCAGCTCTGTGCAGCAGAGGAAGGAAGTCACAAGATGATGGGGATTTCAAAACTGGGCTGCAGCTGTTGAGGAAGCCTGTGCGTTGTATGTTTTCTCTTCTCCTCCCCTCTGCCTGTGCTTTTTCTGTTATGTCTCTTCTTTAGCTTTCTGCTCAGACTGAGGATTTGAGAAGTCATATTTAAATTTCTGCATACACTGATTATCCATAGAAACACTATAGTATGACTGATGCATCTGTGTGTGATCAACATTATGAATAGCAAATATGGCACAAGTTTCCAAACAGTCTGCTAGCAGATGATATTTATCTGGTTAGACATGCTCTGAGCAATATGACTGGCTGGGGAAGGCAGCGCCTCCTAACAGCCACAAAGGGCGTGGAGCAGAAGGAGAGAGTGCCAGAGGAGAGGAGGAGATTTAGGAGGGAGTGGAAACTCAACACCTTTTGATGGCTGCAACTGAAAAACTCCAGAGGATACAAAGTATATGGGCATGTTAGGGCAACAACAAACTCTCCAATGGAAACGTACAGCAACCAGGAGAGAAAAAGTTTGCAAAAGAAAAAGTACAGAAGGAAAAATAAACTGCAAAGGAGATTGCAGAATGCAGTCAAGGCCAGCTTCTCCGTATACCCATCTGATTAGCAGAGGAGGTGTTTAATTTATGAGCCAAACAGCAGACTTAACCCCTTAATCTCCACATACAGCATCCAAATCTTGGGCCCATTGCTGCTTTAGACAAGAATCTTACCAACAGCATGTCAGGACAAATGCTTTATTTAACTATTACATGCTTCCCAGAATAGATAACACTGTCCATTCATTTTCCGCTCATCTATTATCTTTTTTGGGAGCAATGTAATCATTATAGGACTTAATAAGCAGAAGCTACATCAAGCTACTTTACGTTTCTGTGTTAAAATTCAGACTTACCAACAGTTACTGACAGAAAAAAACCCTCTGAGCTGATGAAGATGGTAATGGAAAAGAGAAGGTCAGTCAAACACAGACCAATAATAGACAGTGGTTTATTTAGAGACACCCCCATATACTTAGATTGACCCTTCTAACCCCCCAGGCACGACAAAAGTTCTCAAACTGCCAGCAACTCTCTCAGTACACTGTGTCCACTGGAGAGCACAGACAGAAGGACTAACAGTGGAGAGGTGGGGGTGGAGTTGCTGCATGTGTGCATGTAACATGATTGGTGAGTGCAGACCCCCCACCCCTCCAGACATATATATGTATATATATACCAGTATATATTTAGGTCAATTTGTAGCCCACATTCCAGTCAGGGCCGATCACGTTCTGTCTGCATGGGCTGATGATGCAAAGCAGTGAACCTTCTAACATTTCTATGAATGCAAAGTGGTGATAAATTATTGGGCAGCAGGTGATAGTGACGTCCGATCCGTCTGGTGAGATGTGCCTTGGGGACAGATAGATGAGTGAGGGGCTGGGAGGCTGAGGTCAGGGTTCAGACAAGTGGTTGGGAGTGCTGGATCTGTGTAACGTAACCTCTGGCTGTAAGCAGAAACCTCCTATGACAGTTAGGTCACAGGGCAGTGGTGTTAAGATGACATGCCCAATCAACTGGGCGCCCCATTTGGTAAACACAACAGTCACAAGTCAGAGAGCTGTCTGTCTCTTTGTCTGCCTGATGTTCTTCTGGTTCCCTGTGGAGTGGTCCCTCCCCCCAACTACCACACATACATCCACATATACTACCTCCTTTGCATTTGGCGGAGATGGGTGCCCCTGTCCATTCTCTCCGCGGTGTGGAGGTGGGTGTAAGGTGATGATGTCATCGTCTTCTGGAGGCTTCCAGATGTACTGCTCCCCATTGCCCATGAACACTGCCTCCTGGTAAACAAAATCAAGTGAGGAGCTCAGCTAGGTGTTGTAATTATGGTCCCAAAGTCTTTGAGCAAAAGTAAATCAGAATTAAGCAGAAACGGTGTTCTTAAATTGTGTAATTCAACACATATGGTCTTATTATGTGCAGTGACCATGTGTGAGTTTGTGTTGTTTTATTGCTTTCGGTGTTTGTCCTAAGATCTGTGAGTCACGGAAGTTTTCATTTGCATGTTTGCTCAGTAGGTAAACAGTAACCACGCTGCACAGCATGCGCTGACTGTGCACATATGAGAGAGAGAAAGAAAGACAGAGTGCTTTTCTTTTAGAGATGGCAGACTTGCACAGAATAATGTGGACTACTTTAATAAAAAATAAAAAAATTGGTCAGTACTATTGCAGTAAAAGTTACTGACCAAATGAGGTTCTAAACCTTTTTTATGAGAGCTATCTCCATTTCCACAGTATTGAGTGAGTTGACCTTCTCATGCTTTTTTCTCTCCAAGAACAGCTTTCATGTCAAGCTCCAAACAAATTAATAAGCAAATGACACGGTCAGAAAAAAAGTGTAGGCATTGGAAGCTGGCAGCTGGCAGCTGCTCTGAGACCAGTTCCTAACTGAAAACAGATCCTACTGGCATCTTATTAAATATCCTTTGTTGCCACACCTTTATTTTTGTGTTGCTATTAAGAGTTTCCTTTCCGAATGAACCCTGTACCTTTTCTAAAACCACAAATGATGTCAAAGAATGCCTGCTTAACTGTTAAATGCTCATTGAGTTAATTAGTTACTCCTTCTCTGTGACTTTTAGGCAAAGTTTTTATGCAGATCCACTCAGTGAAAGATTCTGACAGTGCTGAAAAAACATAACCACCACTTAACTCAACATGTAAAGTTAATTTTAACAAGACATATAGAGAAGATAACAAACAAAGTCCCAGTTTATGAAACTCTTTGGAACGTATTAGCATGTCTATCTCTTTTGAGGTAGTTAAATGTAATGCTTCAGCTGCCTTGTAGAAAAAAAAAGCATAATAAAATAATAACCAAACAATTTCTCTTTATACATTTTTATCTGTCATGGCGATCAAAACCAATTAGAAACCAATTAGATAGCATGCAGTGGTGTGTGCACATGAGACCAAAGATGGTTACATTTTTCTGCGGTCCTCCTGTGCAGTGACAGTGAGTAATAGAAGCAGAGGCAGAGTAAATGGCTTCAATATGTGAACATTACTTATTCCCACAGTGGCTGCTGGCTACCTGTTAGCTGTTTCTAGACAGGCTTGTTGAACTGTAACACAAGCGTGTTTTCATTCTTTGTGGGGACTTTACATTAACTTACCTTCATTTCCTAGAGACTTATCCTAACTTTAATCACAACCGCTACTTGCCTAGCACCTAACCCTAACACTTAACCCAACACCTAACCTTAAACCATGTTGTCACCCTAACATTCAGTGATTTACCCTCAAAAAGGCGTTTCACAAAGTGAGGACCAGCCAAAATGTCCCCACTTTCCACAAATGTCCTCACTCTGTAGCAAAAAAAACAAACAAACTGCTATGTAGCAAGTACAAGAACCAGACACACACACACACTCACACACACACGGCAGCTTGGCAGCCTGCTGAGCTCTTACATAATATATCCTTCCACTCTTTGCTCTGGCCAAATCTAATACGTGCTGTGCAGTACAGTGCAAAGGGGTGGAGGAAACACACACACACACACACACACTAAGGATTTACAATGCATAGATTAAAAGTGCAGGTCAACAGTGGGGCAGACATTCACAGCTATGATAAAACTGTTTAACCAACCTTATCAAGCTCCTCAAATTACTAACACAAAAGAAAAAGTCACCTGTTTTATGCTCTGCCAAACACACATAGATACTGTATGTGTGCCAACAAACGCACAGGAAAGGCTGATCACCATCCGATCATTGTCCCTGTATTTCCCTCTCAGAACTGCCCTCAACTGTGGCCTCAACTGTACATAAAGACATTCAATTCTAACGCGATTAAAATGTTTAAATCAAAGACAAAACCACAAGCATGGGCGTTATTCTGGTTGGTTAGATATTGAGGTTGGGAATTTTATTATGATATTGCTCCAAAAATGTTTGCAGACAAAACAATATGTTCACAAATATGAATAAAAATTAATGATAACAAAGTGCGCATGTATGGTAAAATAATGAAACCATGTCTGACCATGAAGAGTTGTTTGCTTGTGGACAGTGCCCTCTGGTGGTGTAGAGGCAGACTTACAGTTTGGACAGATGGATGGTTGGATAATACTTTGCAATGCAAGGTTCACAGGGAGCATTCTGATCCAATGATTCCTCTACCTTTGGGAAGGAGTGCAGGTGAAAGGGCTCCAGTGGTTTGCGTGGAAACTCCTGGCTGCGATGTAGAGGAGGAGCAGCAGATGTTGAATCGCTCAAGCTTGACTGGCTGTCCGACTGGCTGTCAACCCCATTATTTTCCTTCCTGTTTGTCTTGTCAACCTGGAGGTATTGAGTTAGCAGTAAAAATACTGTATACAAACCATTTAGTCAAAGCTGCAAAATGCTAAATTCCCACATAATCAAGTGTCTTGGGATCTCTCATGCATGTCAACAAGGTGTTTTACACCTAAACAAGAGATAGCAAAGTTGATACTAGTTGACTGTCCTACTTTTCAAAATATTTCACCTGAAAGGAAAAAAAAATATGGTGCATTGCATTTTAAGATTGTATTGCATTTAGTTCTGGTTAATGATAGCAAAGTTGATACTAGTTGACTGTTCTTCTTTTCATAATTTTTCACCTGAAAGAAAAAAAAAATATGGAGCATTGCATTTTAAGATTGCATTGCATTTAGTTCTGGTTAACTTATTATTTTGCCTAATTATTTGGAGCCAGAAACATTGATGGTTGCCTTTTTATAGCACTGTGTGCAGTATAAAGAGTGATGTGCTCCACTAATGTGAGAAAATTAACGTCTGTAACACGGTGCACTTCATCCTAGTTTTAACAATTTGTCTTAAGAAATATTAAGAAAATACAAAATCCTAACAATGAGATGAACCTAAAGGGTAATTACATTAGCTTTTACTGTTTTTTGTTATTAGTTTTTTTCCTTGTGATGTCTCTTGTTACCACCCTCTATCACAAAAATACATATGTTCCTTGACTTTTAAAACACAGCCCAGTGTTCTTCTTAGGACTGAATGCAAACACCTACTTCAGTAACATAGACACTGTCATACGAGGCTAGAAATTAAATAAAAAGACACAATGTCTAAATGTAGAGGCATCTAAAGGATTTTATGAGTTTGACAAAGTCTGACTTAGTAAGAGAGAAAACCGAACTACTCCTTTAACTGAATATAGAATAAGGGCATCACCTCTTTTTTCTGAAGTTATGACCTGAATAACTTAAAATAAAAATATATGCTTATCACTACCTTTCTGAACTTCCGTATAGATGCGTACTCAGGTGCAGTTGGATCTTGGATGGCCAGCGTGTTAACAGAAAACAAAGGGGACCTGTTGACCCCACACGCCCCATTACCTCTTCCTGCCTGACCATTAAAGGTGCCATTGCCCCTGCCATTCCCTTTTCCACCCTGTAAGAAAAAAAACACAAGGTTCTGTATTACTAAAGATGTCAGCTACAAACAAATTACTGTCGCAAATCCAAAACCACTGATGTAATACACTTTAAACAAGTTTAGTCTATGAAGATAACATGATGCACACCATCTGCAGGCAAAAACAAAACAAAACTAAACAAAAAAAACATGTAGCTGATCAATTTCATGCAAATAAGGTTAGTCAGTGTAGAACTGGTCTGGTGAATCCTTCACCCTTGCAGAGAGTTTCCTGGGAGTGTGTGAACAGTAATTAAGTTTCACCCAGTGTACTGGATTTAAACTTATAATGTGAGCTTTGGATCTGTGTGTTTATACATACATTCCCATGCCCGTTTCCATTGCGGGCTCCATTGGCATGAACTGGAGGGCTCTGGGCAGCTCTGATTGTCGTCAAAGATGTTGATGGTGGGGCAGGGGGCACCTTGGTACTCGTGTCATGTTCCTGGACTCCTACACTTTCATATAGGCCATCATCCAGACATTGGGTGGGAGCGGGTTTGTTGCGCAAGCCCACCTCAGTGTAGGTGTGGTCTCTGGCATCCCCACCTCCTCCCCCTCCCCCTCC